GACGGGGTGCGTGTCGAGAGATTTTAGTTCACCGATACCTCGCCCCTACGTTGCCGACACTTTGTGGACACTTCGCCGATTATTCACCACGTATAGGCCGACACTCGGTCGACAGTCGGCCAACACTCGGTCGATACAAAATGCAACGCTGAACACCCTCCAAGGTTGTCGAATTACTACGTGAAGCAAGTATAAAACTAAAGCACAACCCATCTGTACAGGTCAGTCTTGGCCTATTACATAAAGTCTACTCTATTATGAAATGGCAAACTTCTATTGCTATTTTAAACCCCTTTAGAATCAAAACGCGCCATGATAAATTTTTGGGAAATGTATAGGGAGGGAGGAGGAAAGTTGAGAGCAAGCGAATGCTTGAACAAAACGAGATTAAATATGATATTCGCGATCATTGGTGATTAATGATTAGAGAAGTTCTTTGATTGAGTCTTTATTTCTCTCTATTCCAATGTCTGTTTGTGCAGGTCAAATCATCCAAATAGATTAGTTGAAATACAAAAGTACTTCACACAAGTGATACAAAAGTATGAAAGCAACGTTTCTCTTACCATTTGTCTTTTCCATGCGAAGTCTCTCAGCGACAACACTCAATGCCATCAAAACAATAACAAGTAGAGTGGGCAAAATATTTTTAACGAACGCTTGAAAATCACATTTAAAAACGAAATCTAAACTGCGCCAACACGAAATTTAGGATCTCTGAACTCGCTGTTATTAAGTAAACACACATGGAGTATGGTGCAATTTTTTTGCTTATGCTAAAAAATACTTTCAGGAATTTCGTTTATTGAATAGGTTGTCCAATCACGCTGTAAAATTATATATTTGGCCAAATAAAGCTAGATTAAATTCAACGTGTGAGTAATTCATATTGCATGGAGATTTGTGACAGAAGCAGGTAAAACGTTCTTGGATTTCAAAACATGGACAGAGAAACCTTCTAAGATATTCTATTTCAAGGCGAAGAGGACCTTAAGCATGCAACGAGATATTTTCGATCTTAGTTCGCTTTTCGTATATTAGACTGTGAAAAACATTTTTTTCATATAATTTCTAATTTGGCTAATCCAAATTTAATTACCTAAAATCTCGAAACGAGCGATCAAAACCACTGCGCGCCAGTCGGCGCGAACGAAATCAAACATTTAAATGTTAAACTGTCCGATCTAATTGGGGGAAGATCTATCCCCTGATAATAAATATAGAAATGCCAATGTTAAATGATGCTTTGAAATGTCGTTAAACACAAACATTTTCTAACGTTAGGGACTATTGAAGTCCTAGCGAAATATTCTTGGTATTTGTGAGTGTTTGTTTCATCTTTTAATTTCGTGAATCAGGTCCAGTTTCTAAACATGTTCATACTAGATCGCGTGATAAATCGATAAAGGTATCTTCCTTTAACAAATTCGGTCAAAATTCGTTTGCCAGTATTAAAAGAAGTCTTAGTTGAAAGGTAAGAAAACGAAAATAGACGTAAGAGCTCCGAGAACCTGTAAGAACTTGAACAAAACTGATTACGAAAAACAGGACATCTTAGTTCCTCTATGATTCCTTTTTATCCTTTTCCGGTAGATGTGCAGGATAAGCGGTCAGTTAGACTACAGGAAAGAAACGTTTTTTCTTACCGTTCTTGCTTTCATGATGAACTTTCTCAGGCACAACACAGGTTGTCATCAAAGCGATAACGAGGAGAGAGGTCAAAATCTTCATGGTGAAAACGTCCATCTCCAACTTAGAAAGTGGAAAAAACTGTGCGAGACTCTTGAACAGAGACAGCGGAACACACAGCCCGGAAGACAGAATGGGACAACGTAACTGATTTACTTTGTTAAATTTACTGTTGGAGTGAATCGATTGTCCAATCACGGAGTTTGTGGATGACATATCTCTTCACAATGCGTTAGTGAAATTCAACCCCAAACTTCATAGCTCAAAAATGTCAAATATCTCCTCGTAAGTAAAATCACTAAGTCAAAAACGATTTTTGAGTGTAAATTGAAGGCCCTCAAAAAGGCATGCTGATCAAAGAGGGCTTTGCAATGTTTCCTGCAATTTGATAACGGCAAAAGGGGTGAAAAAAATCAATATAGAGAGAATCCATAATTACGACATGTTGTTAACGCCAAACTTGTTTAGATTTCATTACATTGAACTTAAAACATCGGACAAAGAAACCTTATAAGATACATTCGATTTCAAATAAAAGAAAAAGTTTTTTTTTTCTTTCAGTTCCCTTGCGTTCATTTCGTTTTACAAGCAATATTCTCGTCAGCTGACCCCGGTAATTAGAAAAGAAACCAACCCAATATTATACATAATGGTGATTAACGGTCTAAGCAGACGCCAAAGGGCTTACAGGCACACGATGTTCCCAATCTCAAATACTCCTGCCACAGCCACTTAAAGTAGAAAGTTCATATATTCCAGAAAAAGCTGGTTGACTGGTTTTTTTTTGGTTTTTTTTTTCCGGTTAGAAGAAAATCAGAGATTTCAATTTTGACTAATGCAAAATGCCCCGCATTTTTTCACGACAATTCGGTTGGAACAATGGAAATTGCGATTTTAAGCTATGCTACCACACTAATTGGGAGCAGGTTAAGCTTTGTTTTACTTCAAACAATGAGGGAAAATGGGTTCTAGATTTATAAACATAAATTAATTTACTCTATCTTTGGGACCACTACACGGACATAAACATTATTTGGATGTCTGAAGATTGAATAACTTGAGCACCACGATATGTTACTAACATAGATCTTCTTTGATTGGTTAAACTATTTTGCTAGTGGAATGAAGCCCTCATGTCAAATTTTAATGTCACATTAAAGCCCGTTCGTTCCGTAGTAAAACGAAAACAGGAATAACATTTATGTCTAACTTTAATTTTGTTTGGCTGGCCTTTATGTAACGTTTGACGTTGTGAATTCAATTTCAAGCGTGTTTTCCAAAGCACTAAGATGTCGGAATGTACTTTTTTCTTCACAAGAAATCTTAAAGCAAATTGGATATTGAAGACGAAAGGGAAAACAATAATGTTTTCTCCTAAATCTTCCCTAAGAAATTATACCTTGCCTTGAAATGTAATGTTAAAACGGATTCACTGCGTGTTAATTAAGTGGAACAAAGTTTAACCGTTTCCCTGATTTGATTTTAAGATATCCAGACGTCTTTTAACATGAATTTTGTCTCTTTGAGTAAACAAGACTGATTGAGGTCATTTACTAGTCGAGGCGAAGATTTATGCTAAAACAATTGGATTATTTGCTCTCTATTTTAATGCGTGATAGATACCTCGGGCTAATAATCTATTTGTTAATTATTCGTGCCAAGTGCTGTTTTTCAATATCAATTAATTTTCGAAAATGTTGTCCGAAGTTAAGGGATGGAATGCGCTTTTTCCTTCGCTAGAAGTATGAAAACAAATTGAATATGTATGAATAGCGACGAAAACTCAGAAACAATTGAGTCTATCTCCTACCTCTTTCCTTTGAATTTGCACCTTGCCTTGAAATCTAATAACTTAAAAGGTCTTCCTTGTGTGTTAATTAAGTGGAACAAAGTTTAACCTGTTTCCAATTGATACTAAGACATTTACACGTCGCGGTCATATCTCGGACATTTCAACTTGGTAAGAAAACGTTTAGTTATAATAATGACACACTTAACCAGCATCTTTTTTTTTTTATTAAATTACCTAAAGAAGAAGATATCAAGTCATGATGCATTTATTCCAAGTGATTAGAAAATTTGTCCAACGTTCTGCAGAATCAAATTCCGTTCCATTTCCTAAGAGAAAAATTTAACAACGGTTACATTATACTTCATGGATTAGTTGTATTGCTATTTCGAATAAGTTAACCGAGGGATTATGGATTTGTTTTTCTTTCTTCACTGATAGACTTAATCGGTTCGCCGAACATTTAGTATTCGATACATCAGAAATATCTAAAATACAACTTGAAGGCTGAAGATCGAAAATGAACAGAAATGCATTTCACGGAAGCTCGTTAAAAAATCCACGTTCCTTTGATATTTAATAGGTCAATGGGGTTGGTGGTCACATTGAAACTTTCCACTTTGCCTTGAAATCTTATAGCTTAAAGGGTTCTCTTTGTTCCTTCATTGAAGTCCAAGCATAACTATTTCTAATTTATCAGTCGCGATTTCCGTGAAGAGGCCCTCGATTTAGGCT